CTCTTGCACAAATTTTGTGCATCAGGCCTCTAGTTTTACTAATATATCAAAATATTACTTAGTGGTTTTATTTTTCTCATATCCATATGAAACTTATTTAATATGGATGTTATTGTCATAGTTACATTTTTAAAGCAAGTGAGTTAAAACATGTAACCACATTTATTTAATTTGAATTTTTTATTGTTAATTTTTTTTGTTAGAGGTATTCTAAACAGTTGTGCCATCTGATCTTGAAAAAAATGATATTCATAGATAGTCACCTACATTACTGCATTTTTATTTTTTCATTTTATTTATTGAGAACCTATTATGTGTCTGGCACTATCATAGATGCTGAATGTATGGGAAATAAAAGTTATTTCTCTGCTCAAGGGTCTTCATAATGGAGATAAATCTGTTAATGAAATTTATAGTGTCATGTTCATTTCCCTTTGGATAATTACATTTAACATTTAAAGATATTCATTTTAGATCAATACTGTTATAATTTTCTGGGCCAAAAGGAAAAAAAAAATAGGGTGATTCTACATGTCTAGAAAGGAATTCTTATGACCTCCTTTGTCATTTTGTATGACCACTATATTTCAAGACAGTATATGGTAAATGAAATATGAAAGTTCTTTATGTGGGTCCTAAGTGAATAGACACATGAAATTTATCATTTTAAACACATGAGAAAACACCATAAAGAAGCCATAATTCCCACTCTTTTCCCACTATTGTGAATATGCTGAGTCAAAGGTAGCATGAATGTGGTATTTGAAGATGCTGAGAGGTACCACTAAACGTTGCCTGATAAAAATTATTTGTATTTGGTGGGCAAAGGGCATATCCAGTTAGCATCTTACCAGAGAGGCTGACTAATATTTTGATAGCTACTCTGAGAGAACCAAGTGATTTGAATGACTTTAGAAGAGTAAAACTAACTTCATTTCTCCACTTTTTAGTCCTATATAACTAATTGAGGGATTAATTAATTATATATCATATTGCAATACAGCTGGGGAAATGAGAGATTAATAAAGCCTCTCAAATGTATCTTTTTTGAAAAAAAAATCAAAACACCCACAAAACTCGTTTGTTTGCTTATTTATTTATTATTTTTAGTCCTCACCTAAGGATAAGTTTTATTGGTTTTAGAGGAGAGGAAGAAAGAGGGAGAGAGGAAAACATTGTTGTGAAAAAGAAACATCGATTAGTTGCCTCCTGCACTCACCCTGACCAGGAATCAAATATCATCCACAACCCTTTGGTACATGGGACAATGCTTCAACCAACTGAGCCACACCAGCCAGGGCTCCATTTATTGCATATTTATACATAGATTTTCTATATTTAGTCCAAGTTCAGCAAAAATGTATACCCATGCCAAGTTCGGCAAAGAATCCAATATTGTGAGTTTCAGAAATAATAAATAAGCAAACATGCATATTTCCTTATTTGTGGCTTCCCTTTTAAGAGCTCCAAGTCTCTGATTTGATTAAGAAATAGGAATATAAGATATATTGACAATGTAAGAATGGCCCACAATTTTTTTTTGCAGTACTGAAGAAAAACTTTATTTGTTCCATAAACAAACAATAATTTCCAGTATTATGCAAGAAAATCTTGTTTGGCCATTTTTTTCTTTCTATGCAATACAAATAAAATGGAACATTAATAAGATTTTTACAAATATTTTGTTTATTTTAATGAAGCTGGTACAGACAATGTCCATTTAAAACCCAAATCCCAGGCCAAAAAGTACAAATAAAATCAAAAAGAGCAGTGTTCTGTTGCACACACTTCTGCATGAATAACTTTATTAACTGATAATGAAAATTAAAACTTTACTGGGATCTTCTGACAAGATTTTTTTTACTCTTAAAATGCTTTCTCTTCAGTGAAGCCCTCTTTGGCGTTAGTCTTTACTCTCACCTCATCTGTCATCTCGACTCCAACCTGATATTCCTCTTCTTTTGGTCCAGACCTTCAGATTTTAAAAGTAGCTTCAAGCCCTATCCGGTTTGGCTCAGTGGATAGAGCGTCGGCCTGCGGACTGAAGGGTCCCAGGTTCGATTCTGGTCAAGGGCATGTACCTTGGTTGCGGGCACATCCCCAGTAGGTGTGCAGGAGGCAGCTGATCGATGTTTCTCTCTCATAGAGGTTTCTAACTCTCTATCCCTCTCCTTTCCTCTCTGTAAAAAAATCAATAAATTATATATATATTTTTAAAAAAGTAGCTTCAAGCTGAGGAAAGGTCATTTTCCACAGTTCAGTTCTCTGAAAAACTTCCACCTCCCACTTAAAGTCATAGTCCAGGAGTGAAGCAATCACATGCTAGCACTTCAGGGCCAATTAGAAGTCATTATGAACACTTGCATTGGTCGACCTTATTTATCACAAGCCTGAAAATGCAGTCCTGAAAAAGGTGGCCTCCCTGTGCACACACATCATATTTCAAAAGGAGAGGGCAATATGAAGGAGGCTGACGTTTGATCACCAAAAGTCAGCACAATGAAAACAAACAATAATGAATAATGGGCACTAGAATTCAAATTACCCGATGTTTTAGAGATGGGGGGTGTCAGTTTTCAATTCCATTTTAACACATTACAAAAGAACTATTTTTAAAAATAAAAAAGGATTGAGGGAAAATAAAATAAAATAAAAAGAATATCTAAACCGTTAAATGACCCCCTGTTTGTTCCTGATAAACTTCAACCACATCTTCTTCCTCCATTCCCAGTTCTTTTGGAGTGTGATTATCAGCAATTCTCTGACCTTCAAAGAGAAACCTGAGTGAATTCATTGGAACTCCCTGTCTTTGACAGTATGATTCTTTGAGTTTCTTGAGATGTGTTGTCATTTTCACTTTGAAGTGAATCTCACTGCTATCCTGTCCAATGACTTTGAGTTTAATGTATTCTCCTTCCTTCTTATCCCCCAAGTCCTCAGTTGAAGGTCAGACATGGTGACAGCGCTTCACCCCGGGTCTCCGCAGCGCAGCGGTCTCAGATAGGCAGGACCTCGCTCCGGGGTTTACAATTCCGTCCCTCTTCCCCACAGTACAACCCACAATTTGTTTTTGATGAAAGAAAAAAAAA